AATTGCTCAACTATTACTAGAGACAAGTTTAATCACAGTATTATTATAGAGATAGGCTTTATGATATTATAAACTATAGATTCCTCCATTCAATCCTTCACAATCTTAGTAATAAGAATTTATATCTGCAAAGATTCCATAATAAGATCCAATCAACTCAATATGCATTTAAGGTTGAAATATTATTAAGGCTTAAGTCCTAGGAGTGTTTAATCTGTCCATTTTACAGTTCATATACATATTTTCTATGAAAAACTACTTTGCAGATTTCACAATTATTGGAGTCATTATATCTCTATCTAAGTAATACAACTATCCTATTGTTTCAAAATCAAATATAGTAGTCTACTCAGATTCTTGTTGTTACTGATTTTCATCAACTGGTAATGATGCTCCCCAGATAATTTCAGGATAACTGATGATATCTAATGATGTTCTACAATATATTTATGAAAAGCGAACATTCACTGAATCTGCAACATTGTTTACATACAAGAAACTAGAATGAGTTCTCGAGTAAATACTAGCCGCATAAAAGTTATTTATCTCAACCATATTTGCCATCTCAATGAAAATAGAGTTGATAGTTTCACCATATGATTAGATAAGTTAGCAGGACTCGAAATACACATTAGTTCGTAAACTTGATACTAATACAGAACTGGCGGTAATAGCTTTGACCTTAGTCATATTTACATTCCTGAACTCAAGTGTTAGAAAAAGACTATTAGTAGTTCCTTATGTCCCAGAATTCATATCTTCTACTAAGTAGTATACACATCCTCCCTCATTTTCTGCTACTACCTTATTAAAAACTGAGTCTAAGATTTTGATATCTCCTTTTGGATTCTTAATAAATATTGCACCTCCTTGATATTTAGCTAGGCTTGTTTCGATAACTAAGCTTTCAAATACTGCAACCTCAACATTTTCCAAAAACATTGCAGCCCCATAAAACGCGTACAAATATTAAAAGTTGCATCCTAAAACTGATAAATATCCTCCTTATACAAATATTGCTCCACCTCTTTTTGAGATAGAATTACCGTCGAATTAATTATAGCTTAAAATTATTGATTTAGTATTTAAAAGAGTGATGCCTCCAGAATTTTCAATTAAACTATCATAAGGGTATTTATTTACAGCTTTATTTGAAACCTAATAGAAACCAGAGTTAGATAAGACAAATTATAGCCCCTATTTTTGAGTGTAAATTTATGAGCCATTTTAAGCAGAATAAGAATCCGTTAATTATAAGTTGTTAATATTGCTGTAATTAGCTTCTTTGATATACAAAAATCCTCCAGATCCATTAATTGATTCAGTTGTTTAGCAAGTTAAAACTAGAAGTTCAAATTGCATATCATTAGAATCAATATAGAAAGACCCTCCATCTTATAAACTTATAGCACCTATTATATCTATATAATGAGCTAGGAATTTTGGAAATGTACTATGTCCTAAATAAACTGAACTATTATAATAGACTTCATCATTGGATGAATATAAAACAGCCCCACTTTTTAGAGAGCTTGCAAAACGTATCCATCCAAACTTCAATTTAATCTGAGAAAATTTATCCTGATAAATCATCCCTCCAAAGTTAGCAATACAATTCATTACTAAAAAATTAGACATACTAACATTGGCATTATTAGTATACATTAATCCTCCTTATTCAGCTCCAATATCATAGTATTATGAATAATCATCAATTAAGGTTGCATTTTAGATATTAAAAATACTCCCTTTTTGAGAAAAATAGCAGTAATAATAATAATTTGATGAACTAGTAAATTAAACCCCATCTAATATTATCATTACAGTCTGAGAGTCAACAGTTATTGCTGTATTAATATCAACTTAAGAAAGGGAATCTCTTTAGAAATAATCTGTGGGTAATGAATTTGATTTGCAATAAAATTGACTATATAAGACTAATATTTATGTGTTACCCATTGCATAGATAGCATTTGAAATAGAATTGGAAAAATATAATGTGCTTATTGTTATAGAATTTATTCCCTCTGAGTATACTAAAGATCCTTTGCTAGTCCTAATATTTATACAGAATACTTAAGTATTGAAATCTATACTGATACCTTTGCCTTTGGCATAAATCAAACCTCCATTGGCTTAATTTGCAAAATTTAGCTAGTTTATATATGGATTTAAATCTCTAAAAGAAGTCTCTTAAATTCTAATAGTGATTTAATTTTATTCATCATATACATAAATACATGTTCCATTTATGGTCGTCCAAAGAGTCTCTATTTGTGAGGACTTAATTTCTAATAGAGAATTTCCAAAGATTTCTAGAAATCCTCCAAGCTAAGCAATTGTCTATCTAACAAATATCGATTAAAAATAGACTTGAGAATTATCGAAATATCCTAAAGCCCCTCTTAAAGCTGCTAAATCTTGATATATTGAATTTTAATCGTAAAATGATGAGTTCTTTGTTTGATAAATTGCTCCTTTTTCAGCAATAAAGCAATTGATAATTCTATTTAATTATGAAAATATCAAAGCATTTTCAAAGTAAAACATACTCTTTTGAGTTTTAACCTCGTCTTGTAATAAAAGTAGAGCAGTTTATTCAACATCAAAAGGTTATTCACTACAAGTTAACTAAACTTTAGTCAAAGAGACTTAGCACGCATTCTATGAGCTAATATTTAAAATTTAACCAAGTGAATCTGTTTACATCTAGTTTATCTTAAATTCATTGAGCTATACCCCCTAAACAGCAATCGCTGATAAAAACGAAAAATCTGATAAAGTTATGAAATCAAGATTAACTTAGTGTAAATAAATTAAAGCCTGGGGATTAAAAGAGTATATTAAAGCTTTAGTCTCATTATCTTAATTATTACCAAGGTTTAACTTAATATAACTGTTTGACAAGTAAACAGTTGATTATTGTTCACCTCCTATAGTTATCAATCTTCCAAATGATAATGTATCAGAGTCAACTAATTCTATTTGATCAAATTATACTGTCCCCTATTACTGAACAAAAATAAAACTTGATCTCGATGATCTATCAATCATAATAAGAGTATTTATAATCTGTAACATGCAATTTATGCATGTTATTTAAACTGGATTAAATGTGATATTTGGATTTTAAACCTAATTAGCTTTGAAGTTAACACCCCTTATCTAGGAGTTGGTAATTGAATTTTGATATCCTTGTCCGAAATGTATTAAGGAATCATAATCATTTTAGTTTGAAATATTGAAATAATTCTACTCAAATTAAGTTGCTACAATTGCATCCTAATCAAAATAAAACATATACTTCTGATTCTATAATTAACTAACCAAAGTTTGAAAAATAAGTTCAGATATTTATATCGGGAAGTTTTGAAACACCCACTCGATTTATTGATAATTAAAGAATTCGTAAAAGTTACCAGTAGATTCTAATAGTAAGGGCTAGGGAAATAAGTCATGTTCGACTAATGATGCATTGAAATAAATGATAGACCCTTAATTTGCATATATATCTCCTATTTACGAGTTTAGGAACTATATTCCACCAGCACCAATAGCATTTGTTAAATGATCATTTGGTTAAATATAAATTAGACCACCACTTCCATTTGTAAATATCTATTTTATTTCTGAGTCTTAAATAGTTAAATCAAGCATTTCGGTAGAAACAAAGAATATTCCTCCATCCTATCCACCAACTACATTTTTGATTAAAGTATTGCTGCTAACTTGAATGTTAATATAATCTTAAGTTATAATACAAAATGGAGCAGTTCCGTTAGTATGAATACTTTAAATTAGAGTATTCTTAACTTTCAGAGAAGCACTATTAGTTTAAAGATTTATAATTCCTCCTACACCAAAATAAGACTCAAATGTATTTATAAAGGAGTTTGAGATCTCTATATTTATACCGACAGAGATCTTTGCGAAAACTATGCCTGCATAGATTGAATTCCTAATTTCACTAAATACACATTGATCTGCAATTAAATTGAAGAAAGTGCCACTTTATATTCCAAGAATTGTTCCCTCGGATTTATTAAAATTTAGGTTTAAAAACTAGGTATTCATTAGTTAGATATACGCTTCTTATTAGAATTCAATACCAGCATGAATCAAGTTAAAACTTTTCTAAGAATCAGTCTATATATTTTCAAAATGACTGTTTTTTATGGTTAAATTTATGCTATCTATGTTGTCTATTCTTATTAAACTACTCTATAATTCATTTAGTATGATACCTAGGAAAGCCACATCTTGAAACTCAGAATTATTAAAAATTATCTCAGAGTTATTCAGAGATATAAATGGTCTACTACAATCTTAGCATAAAAGTTTGCTGAATGTTAAATTATTAAAAGTTACTTGAGACTGTGGGAAGTTAGATTTCAGTGGGATACCTAAAAAGCCTCCAATGTTTAATAAAGAATTCTATCTAAAACTTGAATCTTTTAAATACCAATTGTCATAGCTACTATTTGTTAGTTAATATGTATTAGTATTTGTTTGAATTATACTAAGTTAGCTACCATCTATTAAATTTAAGTTTTAATAATCATTTGAAGCAATGTATTCTGATTAAAGAAATTGAATAGGTCCTCTCATTTATCTCAAGTTAATTGTATGAATTGATAATATACCTATTATATCAGTAAGAAATATTGTTTGAGCTCTATTAATGCTTGAATTTGGCTCTATCAAGTAATTAGAATCAAAGTTGATTAAATTTATATCGACAAATCTAGATCTCTAAATTTTAATAAGTGAAGCAGCAAGGTTAAAATCAGAATCAATACCAGTTATATTTATTTCTTAATTTGTGTCCTAAGGTATGTATTCTTAAATTATTTTTTGAGCAAGGATAGTTGATTTTTAAAAGAATGCATCAGTATTATTAATATATGTCTCATTTGATATTCTGAGTTTCTTGACATTTATAATGTTTATTATTCCATTTTATTTAGAAGCAGAATTGTCAATATAGGTATTAGCATCTAAAGTCAAACCATAGCTTTCAAGATAGAGGCTTTCTAGACTAAGTGAATCCTAAATTTCATCAATTGTCTACGAAAACTAAGTAAGTTCAATAACACCATTTGCATCTTCTTCTAGAATTTAGCGATTTGTACATTCAAAATAAATAGATCCACCAGATATTCCCTAGAATCCAAAATTTTTATTGAATATATTGTTTCGTATCTCATAACCAAGGCAATTTTCTTGGTTAACGCTTAATGATTATTGGTACACGTCTTTGTCATTTAGGCCTCGTGCTCGAATATATAGAGTGTTACTTTAAATTATTCCAAAGTTATTGTTAAATATGTTTGACTGAATTAATAATTTACTATCCTCGCTTCTATGATTAAAGTCAAGATATAGTACCCCTTTTGTGCCTGAATTTTAGATGAAAGAATTGTTTAATATCTCAACTTTATATTCACCATGATTGACTATAGATACTAATGATCTAATTTAAATTGCAGATTTATTTCCGTATTTCTTATTTTA